GAGGTTTCCTTGGGGTGGACCCAGGCCCAGCGGGGCTCCCAGCTCACCCCCAGCACTGACCGGCACCAGCCGTGTCCCCAGCTGACACCCTGGCACCGGGGTTGCTCCCCCAGCACCAGGCAGGATGATTTCTTTATCCTGCATGAGAACGATGCCGACAATTTCTTGGAGTCCATCTTCAAGACGGAGCTGATCAGCCTGTTGTGCAAACGCTACGAGGAGCTCACCCGCACCAAGCTGTGCCTCTCCTTCAAGGACACGTAAGGATGAAGGTCTGGGAGAGGTGACAAAGCAGGACAGGGTCCTGTCACTGTGGCCTCATGGCCTCTCTCTCCACTAGACTACAGTTTCGGGTGAAGAAGGAGGGCTGGGGCGGTGGCGGCACCCGCAACGTCACCTTCGTCAGAGGACAGGGCGACATGGCCACCCTCAAATCCGGAGGCAAAACCCTTATGGTCAGCATTGGGGATGGGCTCCCCAGGAACGCCAGTGAGTGCCAGGGTGCCCCGGGCAGGGGGGGACAGGGGATGGGGAGGGGGTGTGGCACAGGACCGCTGGTGTCACAGGAGACACAGGGGTGAGCTGGCGTGTGCCCCGGCCCTGCGGGGTTTGTGTTTCACCTAGGAGGGACCCGCTTCTGCTCGGGTGATGGGGCAGCACGGGGCGTTTCGGGGATAAGGGCAGCAGGGTACAAACCGTGGGGGCAGCCCCCTCCCCAGCAGCTCTGAGGACTGTCACCTAACGGGGGGCTCATGTCCCCCCCCAGAGCCCACGAGGAAGGGGGGGACGCAGAGCAGAGGTGGCAGCAGATGTCCGGTGCCCTCCCGAGACGCCCCACCGGTACCCAGAGGTGAGTAGGGCAGTGCCAAGGGCAGGGGGGGTGCCAGGAAGGGGGGGACCCCAACCTGGATCCAGCCAGCCCTGCACTCCTGGGGGGGTGTGTGCAGGCTGAGCGTGGGCCCCCTGTGACGCACCATCCCGGGGTGGTGTTTTCCAGGCGCCTGCAGGAATGGGGCACCCCAGTTCCCACGCGGTGACGGCCGGGCTCAGCGGGACACCTACATGGAGCCCCAGAAGCAGGTGC